TTCCTTTTCTTAAAATGTTACTTGACTAGGAGGTATCTCGAGCGTACGGTGGTTATCGGAGGAGCGATCTGTAATAGAATTTAACACGTGGTAGTATATCAAGAAACAATTATCGTGACTGTAATAGCGCATGAAATAAACCTCGATCTTCAATGGAACGTCTGGCGCGAGATATCTAACATGAAATACGGCCCGATCAAGAACCTGTCTCGACAAACGCTAACATGACTTGCTTTAAGGAGGCATCGTATCGATGAGATTCAATTTAAGTGTAATTTATTTTATATCACAGTTCCTCGTGACCAGGACGAATCTACGTGTTGTACCATCAGGTAAAGTTCAGGAATGCTTGACACAGGTTAATTAAAGAACAAGAAATTGATTTAGCCTCCTTTGCAGTGCTTTGTTGGCGATCGAAAACAAAAATGTAGGAGCATGGGAAACAACGGTATCCTTTCGTGTTGGAAGAGGTTGATGGGTAGTGCAAGTAGCTTTAGTGTCGTGAGAATGAGGAGAGTACAATTACAAGTGCACAACCGATACTTTACACGCGTTTGCAAATTCTTTTTGCGTTTTCTTCACAGAAGGTTAGCTGAAATTTCGGCAAATTACATCCGATCTTCAGCAAATCTTGAGAATGGAATTCATCAAGTCAAATAGCTTGATATTTTCAAAAACTACTTGATCTGAAAATAGAATTACTTAAAACATTAATGCTTGCCTCGACTTCATTTTTGTATTGTTTTGCTTGACGTCAAGCATTTTTAAACTAAAATTATATGTTTGTTCTACCAAACACCTTCAGCGATATTTATTTGTACAACCGATCAGTCGTATTTTGTATTTTAATGCAAATTGTCGCGTTGTTGTACAGGCAAACAGCGTTACCAAACCAAAAAACACGAAATCGGTAGATAGTGTCATTGAAGTTCGGTAGATTCAATGACGAAATCGATGAGAAGAAAAAATCAGTGGAGGTGTAAGATCAGCGGCGGATCAAGGACTTCTGGGCGACATAGCGCCATCTATAAAAAGTGTATTTTTGCTACTATACATGTATATCAGGCACAACTCAAAAATAATTATTATCATATACGAGTAGGTCAGTTGTCATTTCTATTATTTTCAATTTTACGCCCATTATACAGGGTGTTCCTTAATGATATGCGAATATTTAAGGGTATGAATCTTCATGAAAAATTAATGTTAGTTTGCTTTATAAAGTATCGTTCAAAAATGTTTCCTTACAAAAAATTCGAGTGTTGAAGTTTTAGGAAAAAAATGGAAATTAATTAATATTTTCAGAACCGCTTCAGATATTTCACTGATATTCAGTACATAGTGAAAGTTATTATAGTTGCATATTGTTCAATGCAAAAATAATTTTTAGCTTTAAAAGTGGCGTGCGAACGGGTATTGACTTCGGTATTTTTTAAGAAAAAAATGGTACGCCAATGTTTTTTTGCCAAATAGAAATTATTTTTGGATTCCCAACTTGCAAAATTATTATTATATTTTATATTAATATATTAATTTAACTGGAAAAATTAAACACTTAGGGGTAATGAACAACTGACAACATTAATATAACATTAAAACCAACGATATGATTACAAAAATTGTTAGTATGCATGCTTCCGCCCTCCTTCTCATGGAATTACGCAGTCGCTGAAATATCCCTGGAGTTCTATCACAAGCTGCACTATTCTTTCTCTTAATTTCTCTACAGTGTAATGGGACTTGTGTACACTAGTGTCTTAAGATAGCCCCACCAAAAGGAATCTAAACTGTTGAGGTCTGGGGACCTTGGTGGCCATTCTTGGGGCCCACCGCGGCCAATCCAACGATTTGGATAAACAGTTTGTAAATAATTACGAACCGCTACACTGAAATGCGCTGGTGCACCATCATGCATATACCACATATTGTTTCTTATCACTAACGGAACAGCATCAAGCAGCAAAGTTGAAGAAAATTGGAGTAAAGGCCCGGATACTGATTTCAAGTCAATTAGCTTGAAAATCAAGTCAAGTAGTGAATCCCTGTGAGAATGACTCTAAATTTATGCCGGCTCAGCCTCTTACATCCGTGACCCACAAATATTGTCTTCTACCCTTCTTCCTTCAATCTTACCCTCTATTATTAATTTTGAAAATTATGTTCCAAATAACCTTTCATTTTCTAGCATATTCATTATCTTAGTATTATTTATATACCGTGAAAATGAAACAAGAGAGAATTGAAACTAAAAATGCTGCAAGTGATAAACAATAAATTTATGCAAAAATATTTGTCTGGCAACACCGCATTCATCTCTCGCCAAACTTGTGACACGTGATTAAACGTCCCTCCTACCCTTTAAATTTGTTTGACCAGCCTATCTCTCTCTGTCTAACTGACTTTTCCTGGTTTGTTTTTGTAAGAATAAAGGAGTGGATCTATCTATCATAAAAAAGAGCAAAGTCCATCGACAATATTCTCAATGCTCATGCACAGAGCGTTACACCACCACTAAAGCACGATGCTAATGATGCGGTGCAGTAAACAAAGACCTTAAATCTAATTTTATACTATACTAGCAAGAATAACTTAAGTTTTCTTTCTGACTGGAGACGAAACGTCTGCAGCCGCAGATAGCGTTGATAGACCGCAAACTTCCATTTTAAGTCGAGTCGGTAATATCGGAATCAGTCCGCCACGCAACGTCGAATAAAACTTTCGAGTAACTTTTTCCCTTTGTGTTTGTCAGTTGTTTTCGTTCTAATCTCTTCCAACCAGAGAGATGTATTTCTTATTTCGAGTCTGTTTAAAGTCCCTGAACATAAAGTTTTCCCATCGGAGAAAACACTCTGTTTTGTTCTGTTCGGTATTCGATTACGAGGTAGTTTTTCCTCTTTAAAAAGTTCATGGGAAGCAAACAATACAAGCCGCTTTAAGAATTTTCCATAGGTTTTATTTGTTTGGCATAAGATTTTGTATGGATCCCCTCCACTCATGAAGAGGTACAGTATTGAAGAGGGTTTCGATCAGTTGTGATACAATACCGAAGCAGGTGTTGCGCAAGGATATATTCTGTGTTCAACGTTGTTTCAATTACACATTAGTATGCTTTTTTGTATGATAAATCCACATGCGTATTATATAAATTAAGCAATCCAGCCGTTCGGATCGAAAATTACTAGCTAGCTATTGCAAGTTCAAATGACCCCCAACCAATGAAGGCAATATAGAGAAATAACGAAACGTCCATCTTATTGAGAGCATCATATGAGTGCAGACTTGTGAGATATATGCAGTGTACTATAAGTATAAAGGGCGCACTTACCTGATTGTTAGCATAACAATGTGCTTGCATGTGTATAGATATTTGTTCTCTGATTCAGATGTAGTATTTCGCCTCTCACCATTGGGGTCTTGGAAAATGTCAAATATATTTCTAAGCATGATAAAAATGTAACTCATTCATTCGTAAAGCAAAAGCGAATTCGTTTTAGCCATTAACTGCTCTCATTATAGATTTTCTATGTCCAGACCGGTAGCAGATGTCCATAAATTTTATTGAAACTTTCCCAACCCGATGTCTGGTTTTTTCTGATATTAATTTCTCTCCAGTATCTTCATTATTCTTACAGCGCGGACTTTTATTACGCTATAAAATTGAAACAAGTTTTTATGATGAGAAGAAGAGATAAGTTCAAGCACTTGCTAGCTTTATCACCTCCTCCATATTGTTTAAAATGTAAAAGATACGTAACATGCATGTTAATGATAAGAACGACGCGTCAAGGATATTTTTTATCTATAAGTTCTAAATTTTTTCGGTACTTTCTTCAGAATATTATCAAATTAATATTTATTGTTATTACTTTAGGATGAGAACGGCGTATTGGATAGATGTTGATATTGCTTGCACAAATATCGAAAAAAAACTTAGATTTCTTCATAGCATAGTAACCGCCTTAACAAGGTTTTCGGCTACTGAAATTTGAATACTTAGATTAGAGTACATGGATTCTGTCTGTTAATATAAGTAAGCGGTATGCATTCGAGCTTCCTTTTTGGTTTTTAGTAAGTCAAACCTGGCGCCACATACATACTAGAAGTTTTAAAATTATGTTGCAAAATAAAATATCTTCCTGCATATTTGCTTCCTCATAACAGTCCTTGGATCGAGACAGACAGGCGGAGAGATATATATCATAAACAAAAAGACGCATTGGTTAATATATTACCGAACATCAACATATGTAATATTGGAATGTCTTGTATATCATTCAGAAAGAAATATAGTTAATTCTTCAGTGACACGACGCCTACTCTCTACCCAACCCAAAAAATATACGTCGCGCAGGCCATTAAGCGCTCTTAAATCGAAGATGAAGGCTTATTTTTAAAAAACAAAAGCAGGCCATTAAATAAGCCTGTCAAAACATCCTGGTTGTCTTGAATATATGAGCTCGGTTAGTAAAGATTTCTGTTTCTCCAGTTCACAGTGTGTCGAGACCCCTAGCGTCAAAAACAATCATCTTACGTCTAGATATCTGGAAAACAATAGATTCTGTGACACGAAATAATGATCTGAAAATATGCTGCAGGAGATGGATCATCTTAAATTATACTGAAGTATAAAAAAATACTTATGAAGCTTCGGTATCAGGTAACTGCGATTCTTAACTGTCAGATTCCGGTTTCTTACGCCAGGTTCTATGTTTCATCACTATCTCTATTCAATATATATTCTGGATAAGTTACACAAAAAGGTCTTATAAAAATAAACGGGCCCCCTGTACGCAATCCTAGATATGCTGGCTATGCCGTAGTTGCAAAAAAGTGTACCCTCGAGGAATTTAACAGGGTTGTTACTACGCATAGACAAAACGAAGCTCATGATAATCACAAAACAATGCGTTAGCAGTGTCAGTACCCGAAACAAGCGCGTCGTTTGTTTATAAATTGGATATAAATGATTCAATCGCTTGACCTCTTTTTTCTTTGTTCCAGTCAACGGAGGTTGGTCGCCTTGGTCACCGTGGACAGACTGTCGATGTCCAGGAGCAACCCTATCAGCTGGGAAGCAGAGTACCCGCACTTGCACGAATCCACCGCCCAGCAATGGGGGTAAGCCCTGTCAAGGGATCAGCGTTAGGAAGACGAAAGACTGCGTACCATGTCCGCAAGGTAAGGGCAAACTAGCACTTTGAAGTTCGTATAAGTCTTACGCTAACTGGGTTACTAACTACTGGTGTTTGAAGGTAACAAAAAGGAAGCATCGTGAACATCTAAGATTTTGTATAGTTAGGTTTCGTTATTCGCGAAAATTACCTTAATTGATAAATAAGCCATTATAAAGCAAAGTGGTTGAAACTTGTAAAACTGGATGTGGGCGAAATGATACCGAAACGAGTTAAACATTTTCTGAGGTTATATGATATTATTTATTTATAAAATGAATTTAGCTGGCGTTTCTGCTCATTTGAAAATCATGATTTTTTCGAAGATGCATTTTTTCAGAATCTGTTAATATGATCTTTGTAATTATTCATCACATATACTAAATGAGTTTTTTAAACGGAAATTTCGTGTTCTGAAAGAGTGAAAATGCATCTGATTATTTCATGGTGCGTATAGAGATGATTGACGAATAATCTTATCAGTTTCTTTTTTCTCAAAAAATAAATGTTCATCCGTCTTTGTTGACAAGAATTAGGTACTTATGGATTTTCCGTTAGCATGTCGATTAGTACCAGTGTTACATATTGTCAAATATTTAATGTTTTTGGGACAGTCTTACGATAACAGCAAAGTCATATTACTATGTGGAGTTAGTATGCTTCTATTTTTTAGCTCGAATCTTTAAATTATTGACAAACATTTCGTGATGAGTTTCAAAGATTTACTACTTACTATTTTTTGTTTTGTCAAAGATTCACTTCAAAATTATGATTTATATACTAAGTGACATATAAATCCGAACACCCAGTTTAAATGGTTTTATTTTAATAAAAGTTGGTGAATGTATTTATCTTACTCTAAATAACAAGTGAAAAAATTATACTGCTTTTTTTTAATTCACTAACGCTCTAAAAATGAATACTTCTGTTGCAGTAAAGAATCAACGTCGGCGGATTTTGGTTCTTGACATCCTTTACGATCGGTTACGATGCCTAGAGTACGAAGACCTGTACGATTTCGTCAACTTAGTGAGTTTGATAGGGGCCGTATAGTGGGACTTCGGAAAGCTGGACTTTCTTTTCGGGCAATTGCAGTTACAGTGGAAAGAAGTGTAGACACTGTGGTTAGGTGTTGTCAGGCATGGCTTCGAGAAGGCCGTACGCAAAGAGCAAGGGGCACTGGACGCCGCCGTAGAACAGCAGACCGTGAAGATCGCCGCCTAAGATTATTGGCCTTAAGGGACCGTTTCTCCACTACCAGGTCCATTGCAAATGAATGGTTTGCAGAACTCGGAAGACCTATTGGCATGCGAAGTGTTTACCGATGAATGAGAAGTTTTGGCTTGTTTTCATACCGGCCACACTGGGTCCTCCCTTTAACTCGAGAACACCGACGTAATCGCCTTGAGTGGTGCAGACAACTGTCACTCTGGGATCAGGAATGGAACAGTATTGTCTTTAGTGACCAGTCTCGATTTTGTTTAGGCATGCACGATGGTCGTGCCAGGGTTAGAAGGCAACGTGGTGAAAGGAGGAATCCACAGTTTTTTGTTTTCATCACACTGTTGGAGTTATGGTTTGGGCTGCTATAGCTTATGGTTCCAGGTCACCTTTAATCTTCATCAGAGGTAACATGAACGCGCAGCGTTATATCCACGAAGTTCTAGAACCCCATCTTTTACCCTATCTTGACACCCTGGCAGATCCAACTTTCCAACAAGATAATGCCCGACCACATGTTGCAAGAGTCACAATAGACTTCTTTCAACATAATGATGTCACATTGTTACCATGGCCACCAAGATCTCCCGACTTATCCCCAATTGAGCACGTGTGGGATATGATGGGTAGGAGATTGCTCAATTTGCAACGTCCTCCTCAGACTCTAGAAGCACTTCGAGAGGAGTTGGTGGTTGCCTGGAATGAGATTCCACAGGAGGGCATTGACCACCTGATCAGAAGCATGCCTAGGCGCGTTGGAGAATGCGTAGCACATCAGGGTGCATCCACACATTATTAAAGGTCAAAGGGCTTTAAAGCAGTGCAATCATTTTGAAATTTTTATCATTTACTTATTATGCTTCATTAAGTACTTATACAAAATTTTATTAAAATAAAACCATTTAAACTGGGTGTTCGGATTTATATGTCAATTAGTATATCTTTGATTCCGTTATAAAAATACGCCGAGTTATTTCAGGAAGTTATGGTTTCGTGGCGAAAATAATCAGAATTCTAAAGCTTTCTGAGCCTTTCTCCGATGTTCTCCTATAGAGTTGGTATTGTTTACCAGTATATAAAATATCAAGAATATTTTAATATTTTAATGAGAATACAATGCAGTTTAACTTTCTCGTTTTATCTAATTTACTAATTATAATCTGTGTTTCGATTCAATCTTACACATTAGATCAAAAACGTCTGCTTATTGAAACGGCTGTGGAGGCACAAACGTTCATTACTTATTATTAATTCAACCATCACCTTGGGCCGAAGGTTGTGCTAATAGCCGAACATACAGTACTAAGGCATTCTTAAATAGTTTCTCAACAAAATCTAAAATACATCTGTCGGAAGTTCATGGTCAAGGAACCAAATTTAAGCTTTTTACATTTCTACCTCCGATGGAAAAGAGATGCATAATAAATTACAGTAATTACTTTGGATAAACACACGAAACTATACTGGCCTAATATCCTAACATTGCAGATACCTAGTGTGACTCACGATATCCACTCGTCAATCAATACATCCGCTTTCTTCAAAAGCGAAATTCTACCCTCGGTACATGGGACTTTAATTTAACCCCAACGGACCCCCTGTCCCCTTCTCTCACCCTTCTAGGACCCCTGTCCCATTTAATTAAAATACCTTTCCGTGTTTCTCAATATACCTTACAAAGGAATATCCCTTACCTAACGAAAGGAAACTGGATACTTTCTTCCAATTCCAAACAATAATAAAGAAAATAAGAGCACAAAGAAGGCGCTGGGTGATAATGAGAATTTTTTGTCGCTGTACCGTTATTTCTCTAGCTGTATCCACAGCCGACGTCAACTACGAGCCGTGATGAAAGAAAGGCAACACCGCGCTCGGACGGCATGGTAGTGCTACCTCTGAACGTCGGCCGGCTGCGTGTAACGTTCAAGAACTAAATTTAATTTTGGAAAAGAGGACAGTTCGATTCAATACAAATCATCTGAATATGAAATAGCTCTAAAAAATTTAAAAATACGAAATAATCGTGATATATATGAGTCGCTAATGCAGTTAACCTAATTAAAAGTATTAAGTTTACGTTTTTTTTTGTCAGCACACTGTGTTCCAACAGGCCCAGCTTGGAAATGTGGAGTTACCTGTTTGTTTTTAATACATTTACTTTCAGTTTTACTATTATTTTTCAATTTTACATAATCATTCAAAATTATGTTTAAAAAAATAGACAAAAGCTTAGATAAAATATCTGCATAATTGCGGCCACAGATGCAAGTTAAAGAAAATTCACTGTAAATAAAGTCAGACTGAATGCTGAGCAAGGTTAACTGACAAAATAAATTTTTGATTATTGCTTTTCAAGAAGAAAATTTCCAATCTATCTACATTAATAATAGATTCAAAAATGGCATACATATGGTAGAATATGATTGGTACATAACTGGTTGGAATTGACAGTCCTCCTCTTTGCAAATAATCAAAATAAACATTTGTTGTTAATGAACCTTTTTCTTTAACTATTAGCGATTTGCATATCTCGCAGTTTAGGTTTTTAGAGATAGCGTGTGAAGCATATCCAGATATATAAGTCTTAGTACTATCCTCTATGTCACAATTGGCTAAGTAATTTGTCTCAAATAATTCATTGAATATATCCAAAACTTCAGGATTTTGTTTGGTATCCAAGAAATCAAAATTTTCTTGAGTTTCTAAGCAGTTTTGGAACCTTTAATTTCTGCTAAAGAAAATGACGATTTCTTTTCATTGAAAATATGCTTCAGCCGTATTTTCTTTTCAGCATTTAAAATTTCATCATATGACACATTGTAATTGCAGCCACATAGAAGTCTATAATTGCCAAATCGTTTTTCTAAATTATCAGTGGTGAATTTTCCAGGCAATACATACTCAATGTGAAATTGATTAAATGAATATTCAATTATATTAAGTAGAGTCAGCGTGCTTTGATATAGAGCTGTATACATTTCTGGTGTCAGGTGTCCATTATTATTCTCTAGATTATGCCATTTTTCTAACCATATCAGGAATTTTTTAAAAATTGTACTCTATAATCATATTTATTGGTAATAGGCTTACAAAATTCGTTTCGCTTCAATTCTCCTTTTATTACACTTGTATTACTGACAATATCCCACCAATTCCTGATTATTTCCAAAAAGTGTGCAGCATCATTAAACTTTAATTCTTTAATAGCAGCTATTGTTGAGTGATGGAATAAATTATCTACAAAATTTACATTTTGCCTTTCAAATGAATTTGGATGCAATGTTTTATAATTTAATTTATATGCTTTCTTAACTACAGCTTCTTTTTCCAATTGATATACAGCACGAATGTTTTCAAATTTAGCATACTGAATAATATCATTATTGTCAAAATTAGGATATACAAAAGTTTTGTCTAGGTTTTTTAAATTAATCCAATTATTTCTGATTCTGAAAATATGCACAACATCATAAGTTAAATATATGTTCTTATCAGGATTATGTGGATTTGGAATAGAATAATTTTCTGATGAATCCTTTGCTAATTTCCTGAACATTGCTCTATTAATTCGGTGATTATCAGTAACAACACAAATAACTTCAAATCCACATTTTTGAACTAAATTTATCACATGTTCAACCAAAGGTGTCATTTCATCACCTGTTAGATTTGAAACTGTTAGTAATTTGATAATTTCTGTTATGTTTCCAAATGCTGAAGGCTAAAACAGTTTTAGCCATGTCATTTTTATTTGAAATTTGAAAAATACAACCAGAATTTGCACGTTTTCAATAGTTGAAATCCTTAGCGTCTTGAGGCGCGAACAGCCACAGTCACACTTCTTAGTTTATTTTTAAAGCACAGAAGCACTACAACTGGAGTCTATTTCTCATATATTATAGTCACCGATCACTTTGAACACATATACACACTTTGAAGTTTAGAAAACAAGCTTATCTCTTAATTACAGCCTCTGCGATTCCAAAATCACAAATTGAAAAGGTTATGTTTTCTCAGCGTTTTGAGCGGCGGGAGTAACACTACCACCTACGTTGCCAGATTTCTTTGTTCACGGCTCGTAGTTGACGTCGGCTGTGCTGTATCGCTTCCGTGGTGGTTGTTCACTTTCTTGGCAGTTTATTCTATCTATTCAATTTTCGAAGAATATTTGCTTTAATACGAGCTTGAATTTTATTATTTGCTTCACGAATTCTCGGAATATGCAAATTAGGTTTTACAGTTTATTTATTGATGTAGGATTAGATATCTTCACTAACGGGTGTTTTGTGGAGGATAAGAAGTCTATGGTGGAGTAAAATAAATGATTCGTTCTGAAATAATCGACATAATGTTAGAAAACGGTTAAAGTTAACAAATACGAGTAAGATGATATTTTGTACCTTACTTCCCATGCATTGGCCAGTCCAAACTAAATCTGCTGTCCTGATGGGTGTTGCATTATTAATATTTTTGTTTGTCAGTTTGTCATAAGGTATAAAGAATTTGTAAAATAAGTTAGAAACGTCGTCGTCGCATCGTGATGTAAAATCGACTATTTTATATTATATAGGCCCAATTTTTTTAACAGGTGCACAAAATTTTCACCTATGGCACAAGTTCAATCAATAAGAAGGCGTTTTTGAAGTAATAAATCTAATGAATTTGGTTGGCTACTTGTAAAATATCTCTCATATTAGAGAAAATTGTACGATTTGTTTAAGATGGGCCCCTAACTCCTATATTGTATCAAGAAATACTTCATATGTTATTTGGTTTAGCTACAAAAAACTAACTGTACATTTGAGCCCGGACACAAAATTTGCAACCTTGACACAAATTCGGTCAGGCAAAAAGAAGGATTTGCGATATACTGTCCCACCACTCAAACAAGTAATGTGCTAAAGTTAAAAATCAATGGGAATAAAAAAATACAACCTAATGTTCTGATCATTATTTTGATGCCCGCATACAACAATGAATAAAAAAGGATAATGAATAGCTATTTTAGACATTTGCTAAAAGAAAAAGCAACTAGAAAGTTGTAATTTGAACACAAAAGGCAGCTGTATTTATTAATCTTTATTTCTAGTATTTTGCAAGTATTACCACTTCAATGACAAGACTTGTAATTATTCAGTTTTTAGTAAAAATGACCTACAAATGTTATAGCATTTTTGAAACATCATTAAATAGCTAATTTTTAAGGTCATTTGCTGATTCAAACTGGTACATTTTTTTCATGGTAATTACTAAAATTTTTGCATAGAAACCAAATGTAATAGTTTAGTTTTTTTGGCATACCGTGCTAGTTTTCAATGAAATTAATACTCAGTTGTCTCAACAAGCTATTAATGATAGCCCAGGAAAAAATAATGAATTGGAAGTTCTTTGTAGCCATAACAGGCAAAAAAGAAGCAAAAGGTAGGGATTATTTGAAAAATCTGAAATGTGGCAATATTTCGAAAACTAGTAAGCTTTGCTGAAGTCATGTTGATTTTATCTGATTGATCTGAAGCCAATCTGCCTTCCGTATCACTATGGTGTGTTATTTCAGGGACACCCTGAACGCAAAAAACTATGAACTGTTGGTATAAGTGGCTTAGACGATGAAAACACCTACAATATGAAACATTATCTGTTTACTGCACCGTTTAATTTGAACCACAAGCAATTCATGTTTTACCGAAAAGGCAAAACAGGAAAAATGAAATAATAGCCAAAAGTGAATCTCTTGGTGATGATTAACACCCAAACAAGTTTCGTCAACATTAGCTGCAAATTTATTTTTTGACGATCTTCCTAGTGCGCTGGAACAAATTGGACATATTCAACTGACGAACGATCGAATCACTAACCATGCAACTACAAAGTGAGTGAACCGCAGCGCCCAAAATCAATGGTATGATTTAAGTTCCTTGATAAATTAAGACAATTCAGGCTTTTGTAAGGACCGATTTCATTTTAAAAAAGCTTTACATTACTCCATAAACTAAAGTCAAGTAAACATCCTTATTTATTTTTAGTATCTACTAGTAAGCATTGCCTATTATAACTTCAATAAAGACCCGTAGAACGATCTCAGCAGAACAAATGCAAATCATCCCAGCAAATAATATACCCGTCAGTTTGCGAATGACTAGCCAAAGTTCCTTATGAGATCGTATATTGGCTTTATGTTGAAGAATTATGCACCAATCAGGTATCACGCTGCTTCCTTTTCAAAATAACCAATCGCTTTCAGGCTTCGATCTCGATCACCGTGTATTCATCGTAATTGTGATATTATCAGTTGTACCATTATACGTGTGGCTTTTTGCAACGGCTTCACATTGCCATGTAGGCTAGTGTTGGAATATCATGCATCTGTCGCTGCGTAATACTAAAACTGAACAATAATTGGACCACGTTAAGCATAACTTGACCCAGCGCCATTTGATAAAGTTTCGGGTTTTGCTCCCCATCTGATGCTCAGTAGTTCAATTTACTTATAAAAGAATGCAGGCATCATTGAGACCTGGCATTCAAGAATTAAAATATTTTAAATGGCAAAAGTAATTCTTTTGCAACACTTACTGGAAAATCTGATCCGCATAAGCAGATTTCCAAAAAAGGTACTAAACATCGATATGAAAGCGTTTAATTCTTAACAAGGAAGCTGATTAGTTCTGGTTAATGGCAGCAACTGAAAAACTCTCTTACATCGGCTTTTGGTAGAAGAAACTGAAACTACCTTGCAATGTTTACGACAAGCTACGTAAAATAGAAAGTGTAGCAAACATGTCGAGCATTAAAAGGAAGTTTAGCAGTCGCCCCATGCTTTATTCATAAACGTGATCAAAGGGTTTCTCGTAAGTCATTAAGTTTCACTAATGCACGGTACATTACATTCTAATTGACTGATTCACGGTTCCTCGTAAATATTTTGGTTTTAGCGAAGGGATGTTTCTTAGTTTCTTTAAACACTTTTACTATTACGAAATGTATTAAGTCATAATATCACAACGGTTCTAAGTTATGACTACTTCTTTAACTTCTACAAGCGGATGCAGAAAAACATAATCAAATAAGTTGTAAAAAACTTAGAAGTAACCATCTTACAGTGGTTTTATTCCCACATGACTGTACTTCCCTTGATATTTCCCTAAACTGATAACGGCATTGCAAAAGTCAATTTAGTGCAAAATGGCAACACTAGGAAAACTACGTTTATCACCCAGTTTTTGGATGACAAGCATAACATTCAGATTGACAAACAAGAACTTTGACAGTAGCCTTTAAATTCGTTTTTGAACATAACTTGCACTGCTTTTGTGCAGTTGTGGTGTGTTTTGTGTCCTTTCTGATGTTCCGTACTTCATTGTCATCCATCAAGCAAAACGGATTCAATATTGTTGTTTAACTTTAACCTAGTTGATCCTAGGCGAGTTTTTGATCGGAGTTAAATGCCATTTGGGGACCCACCTCATAAAGATAAACAGTTTAACTTGTAATTTACAATTGGAAAAAGGGCTTCAGATGGTAAACGTTTTCCTAAACAAAAAATACTCCATCACAGTGTTAAATTGTTTTTGTCTTTAACCTGCTTTGTACTAACCTATTATCCTTCCTACAATGCTTCCGTAGAAGAGCTGGTGTTGGACACTGCTTACGACTATGACATGTACGATAACGTGTACGGTAAGCTGCTTCTGTGCTAGATCCAAATTCTCAAGTATTCACAGTTTCTGCTCCACATTCATACAGTCACAAATATCACGGGAAATTGCTTGGGTTCCTCACAAGACTCTAAGAAGTAATCCTAAACTAACAATGTTTGAATGCGTTTATTACATGGATTTTCTTAAAGTAGATATACGTTATACGAACTTTTTGTTCGAAGCAGAAGCTGTGAAACTGCCTCACTTCCACTGCTTGGTAATTAACACATTAACACAGACACTCATACACACACCGCTTATACTACAAGATATACTGTAAGTATTCATAATTACAATTAATTTGTTATTTTACCTAAGGCATTATTATTTTTTTATGGGATCCCAGACGGAACTTATTTTCTGGAAGATAGAATAGCGTTTATAGCTATTATGAATGCCTGCTTACCTGATAAATTGGGTAGACTAACTTGACTTAAATTCTGATGGCTGATTTCTATATAAACTTTGTGAAACATCATTAAAAATCATCGCTGCTGGAATCATTTACAAGCCTAGTCAAGTATAAAGTAGGTCGTATTAGGTTTTTTTGATACAAGATCTCTCAGAAAGTTCTATCCTAATGACGTTGTATGTTTTAAACGATAGCGCTGATACCGTGTATACAAAAAAGACATTGCATGAAAAATGTTATATTACTAAGATATAAAACATTTTTTGAATGCTTAGGGGGAGACCATGCTAAAAGAATCTGACGGAAATCATGGCAGGCGGGAAGTGTCTAGCAGCGCTGGATATCAGTAATAATAACGTTTTATATAAGTATATATAAGTTGAGTGGGTGCTATATTTACTTACCTTTCACACTTCTGCCGGTAAATCTACCTAACTTAGTAGGTACATTTTGATTTTTCAGTTTTCATGTTTTGGAGTGTTAACACTTACATTGAGACTTTCTAGGTTTCAAAAATGCTCCAGAATACACAATTACAAAGTTTCTAATTTGGGCTCGGTCGATAACTTCGACATTATGTATGCTATCTAAAAAAGTTAATCACAAAATTTGTAGCCAACAGTTACTTGTCAAATAAATTAATATCTACAAGATGATTTTACGAGGTGACCAACTTTATTTTTAATGGAAACGCTCACATTTTATTGCAGGTTTGGATAGGCCCTTTCAAACGAAGCAATCTTATATAACATACAGGGTTTTCTATCGAAAAAAAAAACACTCAACTTTGACAGCCCTGACCTCCACAACTACTATAGCTAGAGTACTGAATGTTCGTCAGAAAGGATTTATGCTCCCATATTTCGTCGCTTTCAGTTTTTTAAACAGTTCATACAGGGTAGGCATTAAGGCAAAATGGACAATTTTTCAAAATTTTCAAATGGTATATTTTTTCGATTTCCCATTTCACAAGCTTTTTTACAGTATATAATATCAGGTTTATGGGCGTTTGCATAACTAGTTTCTGAGTTGTAGCTAACCTTTTTCCTTAGAATTGGTCTATTTTCATTATAAATTAAATCTACTCGGCCTCATGCAATAAAGTGAAAAAGTCAAGGAGGCGCCCCTGGATTTCGTGTAAAAACCAGTCGTACAAACTCCCTCAAACCCAATATAAGAAAAACGCTTGTGAAAAGAAGAATTGGAAAATCTGGAAGTATACAGTCTGTTCCATTTGAAAATTTTGAGAAATAGTTCTTTCGCTTTATAAAAGCAAGTAGATAGGGGCAACATATGGGATTATAATTTTTTTCTGACCAAAAATGCAGTACTTCAGCAATAATATTTACAGGGGTGCGAGTTGTTAAGGTTGTGTTTTTTTTCAATTGGTTGTCCAATATGTCAACAATTTGAAAATAAAGCGTCATTGTCATGTAACATCAAATTGCTTCATTTGAAAAGGCCTACCCATATCTTCAATTTAGGCCTTTGAAATTAAAAAAATGAATGTTTTGGTCACCACGCTGTAGAAGTTAAAATATTTTCCAAGTCAGATGAATACTGTTGACTACAATTGTTGTATTCAACTTTTCTGAATACGATGCGCAATAACGGAGTTATTGACCACTAAAACCTCACTCTGTAAATTAAAAAACTGTCAGACTCATAAGGTTCTCAATTTCTTTTTAATTAGTTGAGCCGGCTCGATGGTCATCCTGGTCAGAGTGGTCAGAATGTACTGCCGACTGTACAAAAATCAGAAGAAGACAGTGCATTCCAGGCAACGGAGGGAAGAAGACCTGTAGCGGAAAGGATACACAAAGCACACCATGTTCAGCGGAGCAGTGCAGGACCATGGAGCTCACACGTGTCAGAGAAGGTTAGTGTCTTTGTTTCAGATTCATATGTAGCAATGAAAATGCACTGCTTTACAATGAAACTACAATTTTTGACATACGGAAACTGTATTTTTTCGTATCATTAGAACAGAAACGAAATATCGCGCAAGGCACACTTCATTATCTAAGCAAGTTCCTAAGCTACTCAAAAGCATAATGCAGAGATCATATCCATATCTAGCTCCAAAGCTGTATAATATCATTCCTTCAAATATCAAACAACTTCATAGAAAATTTGCTTACAAGAGGAACTCGAATACTTGGTTAAATGACCAACCTCGCATTGAAATTCCGAACCGAGTCATTTCAAATAATATCAGGTAACCAAATAAATTCTTGCGATTTTTAGTAGAAAAAATATAAATTTTTATTGAGAAACAATAAGACACTATTTATTCGTCGAAGTAATTACCATCACATTCAAGTTTGTACTCATTCAGTAGAACAGGCAAATGATTTAATCAACACTGACTTACGAACAGTATCTGACAATTGTAAAGAACACAATTTGAAACTTAATCCTGATAAAACGAAACTTGTGCTTTTCTGTTCTGATCGCAAGTGAGAAAACTTGACCCTCTTCTTGAATGAACAACAACTTTACTTTTCAACTAGCTGTAAGATACTTGGTTTGACCATAGATGACAAGTTACGTTACCAACAGTCAACAACAACAATCGTGTATTATATTCTAAGAATCCTGTATATTTAGTAGAAAAGCTGGTCCCTAGGTCAAGTATACATAATGTCAATATAAGACATCAAAACCATTGTACAATGCCTTTGTACGAGTATGTAACATCACTCTTTTAGTGTATATGTAAAACACCATATTTGTATGTCAAATTAGCATTAAGCTCTAATCTTTAGAAAGGTTGAGTGTAAGAATAGCTGTGCTAAACTCCGCCAATAAAGCGGTTTATTATTATTATTAACATCGAATTACTGTTTTATTCGTCGCCATTTTCGATTATTAAAACTAGGTATGTAACAGATTTCAGTAAGTTCTTATGTGTGCGAAAAAAGAAGGATTCATACTAAAGTGACAACAGGTAACAAACAATCGCTATCGATCAACAACATCCATGGCAATGTGCGATATACAGCAACCGTACGAACTTATTTGGTTACCTGATACTATTTATTGTACATGAACAATTATGTATACTTTCTAATAAAGATATTCTAGAAATATACATTTAATGAAAAAATTTATGTAGATGCAATACTAACCTCCTTCACAGGGTTATCCTTGTATGAGGCGTGTATGTTCCTGCATTATTTTTGACTGCTTACTGAATTATTTAAAATGTTTCTTATGCATTCACACAATGTCTTAAATAATTGTAGTAGCCCATACATAGACATTGTTTCACTTTTATTTACTTTATACGTTGATATTATTATTATTATTATTATTATCAGATTAGTTAACTTTAACGCTGGACAGCTTTGCCTAAGCTTAAGAAAGTCAAAAGTTATATGTACATGCTAATGTAGAACAAATATCTATGTTCGTTTTCACGGTATTTGATTATAATGATAAATAAGGAAACCGGTGGACTGAAGCGCATAAGGCGATCCTTAACGCAGCTGCTACTCGTTCTTGGACACACACATACTCTGGGTGATAGAGGTTCGTTTTCATTCACTTTTTGTAAGTATTACCACAAACACATGACATTGTAGTTGTATCTTCAGGCTTACTCTGCCTTATGTCAAAGTTTAACAAAGCACAAAAATGTGGAAGACTCGTACGTTGACACGAAAATTTGAAAGGTGGTGAGACAAAAGTAAAAAGCGTGTTTGTTAGCTTACGCAACGTCCACGCATACGTATGTGGAAGCGTGAAAAAAATTCCTGTAGTTTTACGGTGACTTGCCAAAAACCGCGACAAAATCTCTAATACATCTAGACTTGATTTTACTGTCGTCTACCCGCAGGCATGAACATTTGCTCAAATTTGACCCATTAGAATGAGGATTGGAAGTGAAGAATCTAATAATATAATCGATTTCTTCTAAAACGTATCTAAAAATAGTAAAAAAAACTGTATGGTTTGTGTATTAAGTTCCTTCGCTCCCCATATTAAATCAAGTAACCCTCTATCTCTCCTAAATCACCTGGTTTAGCTACAGAAACCTATTTTTTCGTTTGATTATCTCCGGAGCAAAGTTTGCTACTAGGGAGCAATTTCGATCGATAGAAAATCAAGATAAATTGCACCTCAGCATTCCTAATTTTTCTCTTCTTCTCCCGCTCAGGGGGCTACACGTGCTAGCGTGATTTTTTGCCAAACCTGTGTCCCCCTCGAAAACAAAATCGACGGGTCTGAGCGTTTTTTAAAAAAAACAGAGCTGCCAGTAAATGCGTCTGTTTCGTTTTCGATGCGCCACCCTGTATAACAAAGCAATTGCATGGATCAGATAGGCCCATGTAATTAGTGCTCTGTCCCCACCCATTTGACAGGCAACGCTGTCATCAGAATTGCGATGAGTAAATCGCCTGCGGTAGCTGTTACCTCGCTACAGGTTTATATCCTATTTTCGCTGCGCTCGACGTAGATTTTGAAAATATTTCTATTCATTCTAAGTCTCAAGGGCCGCTATGCGGGGAAACCTATACGTGAAATACGTTCAATAGCTGCGTATATTTACCGGGGATAGAAACTCATTAACGCCAAAAAATTCCAGCTGTAGACCGCTCAAGAATTAGCGGACAAACCAACAAGCGTTACCCTCGTAAATGAGTGACATGGTCTTTCGGATTGTACATATCATGTTATATTTAAAATATATAAAACTACTTTTTCGAATTTTTTCACTATTACAATAGTTTCTCGCCAGTGGCGTAGGAAGTAAATGTGTCCGAGTCCTTTAAATCCAATGTATTGTCCTCTAGATGATCTACCCTGCGAGAATCAACTTTAGTTCCGGTTTTAGACAGAATGTGACTTATAGTTTATGGCGTGGAAAGTACAAAATAATATACTAAGTGACATATAAAACCGAACACCCAGTTTAAATGGTTTTATTTTAATAAAAGTTGGTGAATGTATTTATCTTACTGTAAATAACAAGTGAAAAAATTTTCAGCCTTACCAGTTGGACATTCCGGTTTTTATACTACTTTCTTTAATTCACTAACGCTCTAAAAATGAATATTTCAGCCGCAATAAAGAATCAACGTTGGCGGATTTTGGTTTTTGACATCCTTTACGATCGGTTACGATGCCTAGAGTACGGAGACCTGTACGATTTCGTCCACTTAGTGAGTTTGATAGGGGCCGTATAGTGGACTTTCTTTTCGGGCAATTGCAGTTAGAGTGCAAAGAAGTGTAGACACTGTGGTTAGGTGTTGTCAGGCATGGCTTCGAGAAGGCCGTACGCAAAGAGCAAGGGGCACTGGACGCCGCCGTAGAACAACAGACCGTGAAGATCGCCGCCTAAGATTATTGGCCTTAAGGAACCGTTTCTCCACTACCAGGTCCATTGCAAATAAATGGTTTGCAGAACACGGAAGACCTATTGGCATGCGAAGTGTTTACCGACGAATGAGAAGTTTTGGCTTGTTTTCATACCGGCCACACTGGGTCCTCCCTTTAACTCGAGAACACCGACGTAATCGTGACAACGGTCACTCTGGGATCAGGAATGGAACAGTATTGTCTTTAGTGACGAGTCTCGATTTTGTTTAGGCATGCACGATGGTCGTGCAAGGGTTAGAAGGCGACGTGGTGAAGGAGGAATCCACAGTTTTTTGTTGAAAGACATGATCATCACACTGTTGGAGTTATGGTTTGGGGTGCTATAGCTTATGGTTCCAGGTCACCTTTAATCTTCATCAGAGGTAACATGTACGCGCAGCATTATATCCACGAAGTTCTAGAACCCCATCTTTTACCCTATCTTGAATCCCTGGCAGATCCAACTTTCCAACAAGATAATGCCCGACCACATGTTGCAAGAGTCACAATAGACTTCTTTCAACATAATGATGGCACATTGTTACCATGGCCACCAAGATCTCCCGACTTATCCCCAATTGAGCACGTGTGGAATATGATGGAGATTGCTCAATTTGCAACGTCCTCCTCAGACTCTAGAAGCACTTCGAGAGGAGTTGGTGGTTGCCTGGAATGAGATACCACAGGAGGACATTGACCACCTGATCAGAAGCATGCCTAGGCGCGTTGGAGAATGCGTAGTACATCAGGGTGCATCCACACATTATTAAAGGTCAAAGGGCTTTAAAGCAGTGCAATCATTTTGAAATTTTTATCATTTACTTATTATGCTTCATTAAGTACTTATACAAAATTTTATTAAAATAAAACCATTTAAACTGGGTGTTCGGATTTATATGTCACTTAGTATACTTCTATAGCTTCTAATCTCAACGATGTGGGCTACTATAACAACAGCAATGAAACATAAATAGGACTAACCTTTTGCAGGCAAGAGTATTGATTTTTCAAACACGATTAGCGGCAAACGCGTAGCTTTTTTTGAAGAAAACGTGAATACAAATGCTTTGCTTGCACATTTGATTTAAATTCTTCTGGTTGTTTCAGCAGATTCACCTCTGATTTCATTCCAAACTGCTTTTACTCCAACGAACCGCGAACATTTGTCAGGTTTACGACCCAATTCTTTGTTTAAAAAAACAATTATTGCCTTCCTTTGTTCCCTCCTTCGTTTTTGAGGCTGCCTCGAATACGTCCCGATAAAAAAGAGACTTTTGTCACAAAAAACCTCATCCCGCCATCCTAAAACGCTCGCTCGTTTGTAATTCAGAAAAAGGAACTTCAAAGCTGAAATATGAATCAATTATTGAGTATTTTCGAAGTAGCGAGAACGTTCTTTCGTGACACCTTCTCCAGTTCTTTTGTGTTTCCCTTTATAGAAATGTAATGGTATCCCATAGCTATTCACCCCTATCACGTATGGAAATATGCCGGTCTCTTCGTCCTTTCAAATGTCCTCC